AAAAAGGGAATTTTTACTTTGCAATTCAATCCAGGAAGACACTGGATTAACTGTGTTATCTTGTTTTAAGCACCATTTTCAGAGATTAAATTCTAAATTCTCACATTCTTCAAATATCAGTAGTTTTCTCAGGATCAATGAGAAAACTGCCCAGATAGCCAACTGCCTGCAATTTTACCACTGACCATGAAGAAATGTACTTGACAGCTATCATATAAATCACTGGTCATTGGAGGAAAGATATTACATAATTCTAAGTACTATTATGCATGAAATAAAAATTTATTAAAAGATGAAATTCCAGGATGAACTGTAGACTATTCTTATCACTAGCCTGTTTTTCCAGGTACAGAAGACTACTTGGATGTTGAAGCATACTGTGAATATTTCCTCCACAGACTATAAAGAGCTTTCACTAGAACAAGAGAGGGAAAAAACCTATGGTCTGGAGAACAAAAGCTAAGAGTTCCAAGTTTTAGTGGCCATGTTTCCCATTGGGCTATTGTGTAAAGAAGAGTAATACTATATTTTTTTTTCCATTCACAGATGGAAAAGAGTAAAATTTTGCTTTATTTAAGCCCGATAGCAATAATCTTACATGGGTTTCAGAAAAATGATACACATTTTACTGTGGGATAATGAGGACCATTAGTTATTAGAGAGAACAAATTATTCTCTTTCAATTCAACACACTTATTCATTCACTCATTTAATAGACCATCCTCTCTCCTTTTCACTAAAATGGCCTTCCCATACAGAACACCTGGCCATGAAACATGCCACCAGACAGACTTCAGGAGGTGTCAGGGAGAAATAGAGAATTTCCAAAGTGAAGCCACAGGATAAAACCAACACTTGATGCTTGCCTTTCATTTCAAGGAAAGCAATATAAAAGCAACAGAAAAAGAAAAAAGTAGTTGAAAAATATACTTGCTCTCCACAAAAGAGTCTTAAAAATAAAAAATCATGAACTTAATAATTTTCCTAAATGAAATTATGCCATTATTCCTGATTTCTTTGTACTAACTAAAAGGACAAAGTATCAAACTTCACTAAGTTTCAACACTGTAATACATTTCATTAATCAAAGATAAAAACTACATTAAAAGCAAGAGAATTATTTTATGTCTGTGATTAGGCAGTTGGAGGGCTTGTATTTTATGTATACATTTGTACACTTCAACTTATTTAACAGTGTCAGTTCACTAACTGCAGTTTTTTTATATAAAGAAAACGGATTTAGAATTTTAAAAACAAATTACAGTAATTTTATGCCTACAGCTTGCACCTCTTAGAAACCATGCACCCCCAACACTCCCCTTACTTTCCCACCTCCTCCCTCCTCCTCTCTAAAACCACAGGCTAAGTGAGAACTGGTAACATGGGCCGCAAATCCTCTAGTGAAGAACAGCCACCCTGGTTTTTCACTTGAGGTGGAGGAATAAAGGATGCAGATCAAAATGTGGCTCCCGCTTAGGGCAGGGAGCAAATGCCTGCAAAGAGCTGTCTGGAGACCTTCCATTTTTTTCTGCAGATCTTTATGGTAACTGGCATTTGCTGTCCTGCAAGTCACTAATCTGGACTGCCTATGGGAAAAGGGAGAGATAAAGGACTAAAAGATTTCTCTCTAATGCAGGTAGATAGGTGGATGCTGCTGCTGATGGCAGGTATATCAGGAGCAGAGGAGGAGGAGGGCACAGGGAAGACAATCCCACAAGTCCTCAGTATAAGAACTACTGTCAAGTGACAAGAGATAAAAATCAGAGAAGCTAAGAAGGGGTGTAGCAGCAAGTCCTTAAGAGCAGAGGACACAGACCCTTCCAGGAGCTCTGAATGGCTACCTGGCACCAAGAGCTTGCACGTCAGGGGGTAGGACAGACGGGGACTTGGTGGGACTGTGCATAAGCATGGAGGGCTCCTGTTCTGGACTGAGACTGGTCAGTAATGATGTGAACCCTCTGAAGATGGGACCCATGAGACTACCAGCTTTGAAAATAATTTGTGAAAACTGGATTTATAAGGCAGCTGCAATTAGAATAAGATTTGTCTCCAAGCAAGTCAAAATTTGCCACTGTTTAATTTAGAATTATCTTAAATATGACCCCAGAATTAACAACATCAGCCTAGTCCCCTCTGGGACCAGTGTTGATATACCTGAGCAGTCATGAGGCTGCCCATTGGGCAGGCTCCACCACCCTTCACTTGACAGCTCTCTGGCTCTGCTTCTATATTTTACATGTCACTCATGAGGGGGCGCTGGGCCACCAGGAAATTTAAAACCAAGGAAGTAAAGGGTAGCAGTTAGCTTCTAGGCCAGGTTCTTGGTGATACAAACAGAAATGGGAAATCGACTATTTAAAAAATGGTTCCACTCAGGGGTGTTTGGTGCGTATGTTGTGTGTGGGGGACTATTAGTCCACAGGTATGGGATGCAGTGAGGGAGAAAAGGGAACATAAAGAAGATGAAGCTCCTGTGACTTCACACTCATACCTGCTTGGGAAATTCTGTTATAGCCTCTCAGAGCTAAGAACAGGCAGTAGGGTGTGTAGCACAGTGGTTAGAAGCACAAGTTCTGGAATCACAGAGAGCCAGTTCCCAGCTAACTACAGTCAGCCACTTAACGAACTACGCGCTAAGGTCAAGTTAGTTACCTCTAAGCCTCGGCTTCCTTCTCTGGAAAACGGAGCCAGAACAACATACCCTTATGAGGTTGTTGTGAAGATTAAATCAGATAACATATGCAGAGTACTTACTACAGTATTCGACAGAGTAAGCACCCAAAGCAGGGGAGAAAAAAAGAAGGAAGCTAAAAACTACTGAGCACTTATACTCCTCTCCTCCCAGCTGAGGATTTATAAACATCATCAAATACAACTCAACTTTGAGAACACATTGTATGACAATTTGGGGAGCAGATTTTATCTTCCTAATTATGTTTTGCTTTGGCAAAATGAGTTTTTCAAATTTGTCAAAAATGAGTTTCCACTTCCAGAGCAGACACTGGTGGGGTAGTGGAGTCAGGGCAGGAGCTCAGAAAAATACTCGCCAAGGGCAGGATGACAAACATGTCACTTCCTCATTTATCTGTCCAATCCCACTCTACACATGCAGAGTGAGCACTATGTACAAATCTTTTTTTCTTTCCAAATTTTTATTTAAATTCTGCTTAGTTGATATATAGTGTGATACTGGTTTCAGGAGTAGAATTCAGTGATTACTCACTTAACATATAACAGCCAGGGCTCATCCCAATAAGTGCCTCCTGAATAAGATCACCCATCTAGCTCATTCCTCACCCCATTAAACCTGTCATCTATCATTAAGAGTTTCTTATGGTTTGTTTCCCTTTTTTTCCTCCCCTTCTCATATGTTCACCTGTTTTGTTTCTTAAATTCCACATACAAGTAGAATCATATGGTATTTATCTTTCTCTCTAATTTCGCTTAGCATAACACATTCTGGCTCCATCCACATTGCAAATGGCAAGTTTATTCTTTTTAAAAAACTATGTACAAATCTTATGGATTGGAGGAGCATGGACACATGTATGCAGAAGCCTGGCAAGAGAGTGGGATGTGGCTGCTAACAATGCACACTGAGTACTCTCTCTGCTCCAGGCCTGTGCAGAGCATAGCACGTGCATCATTCTATTGCTCTCTGAGAGCAACTGCAGTTTATGGTTCCAGAAACCAAGGCTTAGATCAAGGTTTAGAGGCTTGCAAAAGCCACAGAGCTAGTGAACAGCAGAACTAGCATGTAAGCCCAGGTGCCTATGATGTTAAAGCCCATGCCTTAAGCCAGACATTTCAATGAGAAGAGGGGAAGGATTTTCCATGAGGCCAGGACAGAATGAGCAACGCCATATTTAGGGGACCCTAAATATACTGATTAAGAAAGAAAGCTAGAAATATAGGTTGGAGCTCCAAAGTTAGAGTCTACAACTGCCAGACTGAAAGACTGTGAGATGTCAGTGGCATCTGGACTTCACTTATAGATAGTGAGGCACCATCTAAGGACTTTATTAGGCAGTATTCTAAAAATATTTATCTTTACATGCAATGCAATAGAGAGCAGACATCTTAAATCAATGTAACTCTTTACTTGCTGGTCATCTAGAAATGAATTCAGAGCAAGTAATGAAAACATTTCTAAGTACGAAACAACGATCTGGTACCACAGCAAAAAGTTAAAAAATGCTGAGGTTTTAGGGTTGACCAACACCTCCTGTGATGATGAGAAATTAGGAATCAGCTAACTCTTGGAAGGTAACAACATGTCTAGTTTCCAAAGAATTTAAAATAAAGTGAGAGCAGGATACTCACAGGAAATTAATACTAAAAATTAAACTTTTTAATGTTAAAAAAGCCATGTATTCTCACTTTACACAAAATACGTTTAAAGACAGAGACAAGATAAACTGACCAGCACAATACCATCAATCACCTTATTCATGAAAGTTCACCAATTAAAGCTACAACAGTATAAGCTCAGGCACTGTAAGTGTGCCTAAAATCTCTTCATTCCTTCTCCTGCCCTCCCTCTCTTACTTTGGCATTTAGGGACTGAGCACCTACTATGGAGCAGGCATGTGGCTATAGAGGTAGCAAATGTATAGGATCCATAGTCTATGGGGAGAGAGAGAGAGACATTAACCAACCAACCACAAAAATAATGCCCACCTATAAATAAGGAAGCGGGGATCCCTGGGTGGCGCAGCAGTTTGGCGCCTGCCTTTGGCCCAGGGCGCGATCCTGGAGACCCGGGATCGAATCCCACATCGGGCTCCCGGTGCATGGAGCCTGCTTCTCCCTCTGCCTGTGTCTCTGCCTCTCTCTTTCTCTCTGTGACTATCATAAATAAATAACAATTAAAAAAAATTAAAAAAAAATAAGGAAGCGTTCAGCACACAGCATACCTATGAACAAGGCTCATGATAGGTGAGGGAGGACTGCAGGTGCCGGTAGAGCCGGATAAGAGTCTATGATCTGGGAATACTTACCTAACCATGTTGCAATCAGGACAGCATCAATTCCATCTATTGGCTCACAGATCCGAGCCACAACTGGGTGGATCTGCTGAGCCAGGTAGTACTGGGTGTCAATGGTTAAATTGTCCTGTTTCTGTAGCTGCTCAGGTGCATAGGCCCTCTGACTCGCAGTGAGGTTTGACCCATCCTACAAAAGGACATGGTACAGGTAAAGTTGTAGGAAATTCAGTCACATATACATGCTTGGCCAAAAAGAGGGACCATAATTCAAATTTTATATATTCAATTCCAAATATCAAGAAGTCTTTTTGACCTGTTGGTGAACATGTCATATGTATCTAAGCGTAGGAAGATCAAGGAAAACATGTCACCCACTGTCCAAGAATGTAAATCCAGCATGTGTTGTGTTCTATTTTTTGTTGAAACCTGAAACCAACAAGATGGCATGACTAGATTAAATAATTCCACCTGCCATATCACAGAAGCACTGAGAAGACTTGCTAACTATTAGTCTAGTCAGAAAGGCCTTTTAGAAGTGATGAGAAAAAACATGTGTGGTCCTTTTATTATGTTAATGCAATCCATTCATGCAAGAATTCTAGTTGTAATCTCATCTTAAAGGCCCCCAGGGGTAATATTTTCTATGAGAGCTTTATGTATCCAGAAGCAAATGAGCAAGGGGAAAAAAAAGGGATATGAAACCCACATAGTAACTTACATAAAAGATATAATAGGAGTAAAATTAATGAGCTATCTTGGTGGAGTGGCAATACTCTAGAAGCAAAATATTTGGCCACTGGAATGACAGGCATGCCATTTTGCACCATTTACATGGCTCTCCCGAAGGAAAAAAAGATGGGTCAGAGAGTATCTTTTCAAAGATGTCCTCTCAATAAAAATAAAAGTTGTGGAGTTCTATATAATTGGTCCATATACAGCCCTGTAGGTGAGGTCATTATAATCTTTGAATCAAAAAAAGTCATCACATTACTGGATCAACAACTGAAACTCACTCCACTCTTCCTCTTTTCTACAACAGAATTTCATATTCAGACTAGTCAATTTTAACTATTCACAGTGCTAAGTTGCTCTGTGAAATAGGTAACGTGAACCCTATTCTTTCATTCCTGCTACAATCAGCCCCTTCTCAGCTTAGCATCCAGCCCTAGCTCACCACTGTCTTCACCAGACTGGAGGCAGGGGCCTCTTTCTCTGGCAAGGCTCTTGATGGAAGCAAATTGAGATGTTTATCAACTAGGTCCCACGGAGTCTATGATATAATGAAATACTAAGAAAGCAAACTTCAGATTAAAAGACTTTGAAAATAATTTTTTTCCAGGAGTTCACAACATGGTAAAAATTTAGGCAGAATTCATCCACTTTAATTGTTGCCCTTTGCGAAGTCCAAATTATTAGGTGAAGAGTAAGAAGGCAGTCAATGACAGAAAGAGTGGGAAAAATCTTTGGGCATGTCTTCCTGCACCACAACTATAGTCAGACTGACTTCATTAACTAATAGCTGAAACCTGATCAATTTAAAAAATTGTATTTTTTTTTTTAAACAGTCTGCCCTGGGACAGCCCAGGTGGCTCAGCAATTTAGTGCCACCTTCGGCCCAGGGCCCGATCCTAGAGACCAGGGATCGAGTCCCACATCAGGCACCCTTCATGGAACTTGCTTCTCCTTTTGCCTCTCTCTCTGTCTCTCATGAATAAATAAATGAAATCTTAAAAAAAACCGTCTGTCCTTAAGATTATAGCAATACTGAGAGACACCTGGGTGGCTCAGTCAGTTAAGTGTCCGAATTTTGATTTCAGCTCAGGTCATGATCTCAGGATCAGGAGATGGAGCCCTACGTTGGGGTCTGCACTGGGTATACAGTCTGCTTAAGATTTTCTCTCTGCCTCTCCTCACCCATCATCTTAAAAAAATTATACAGCACTTTGAGTTTACCATTTTTTAATGGTGAATAAAAATCTAATTTATACAGGGTCACCCAGGTGGCTCAGTCAGGTAAGTTTCTGCCTTTGGCTCAAGTCATGATCTCAGAGTTCTTGGATAGGGCCCTACATAAGGCTGCCTGCTCAGCAGGGAGTCAGCTTCTCTCTCCCTCTGCCCCTGCCCCCACCTCATACTTGCTCGCTAGCTCTCTCTTTTAAAGATTTTATTTACTTATTCATGAGAAACACAGAGAGAGAAGCAGGCTCCATGCAGGGAGTCCTCCATGCAGGGGCTGAAGGCAGAGCTAAAGCACTGAGCCACCCAGGCTGCCCACTAGCTCTCTATTAAATAAATAAAATCTTTTAACAAAATTATCCTCAGTTAAAAAGTTTTTTTTTTTGTTTTTTTTTTGGAAAAAGTTAAAAAGTTTTTATTTTATTTTATTTTTTTTAAATTTTTAAAATTTTTTTATATATTTATGATAGTCACACAGATGGAGAGAGAGAGAGGCAGAGACACAGGCAGAGGGAGAAGCTGGCTCCATACAGGGAGCCTGATACGGGACTCGATCCCAGGACTCCAGGATTACACCCTGGGCCGAAGGCAGTAGCACTAAACCACTGAGCCACCCAGGGATCCCCTGGAAATTATGTCTAATGAAAGTTAAATAATTAAGGATTTAGAACTTATCAAGGGGAAGTTGATTTACAATTTCAGCAAATAATTCATATAGGTTTTACAAGTCAATGAACTACAATATAAATCAGACACCAAAAACATTACTACTCTCTGAACTCATCTGAATTTAGTCAGAGTAAATTATCAGTAGAGTACTACAGACTAAATATAATTTCAAACAAAACAGAACATATCTAGGAGACAGACTATCATGGAGGGCACCTTTGCTTAGAGCAGCATAGTTCTCTTCAAAATTTATCATCATACATTTTCAAAAAGATATTCTAAAAATATGGTTAAGAAACAGAATAATTTGAATGCTTAAAAAAGCAGAAGAGGTTGGCAGCTTTGGCTCACAAAGATGCTCAAAGTGGGCCTGACCCACTGCTAGAGGACAGAGGCCAATTAAAGTCCTACAGCTTTTCTTGGGATACAATGAGAAGCATAAATAAAAAGAAACACGAACTGTGGTCTTAATAAGCAAGAAAGTTAAGGCCCAGCACCAGTGGATGGGAAAAATGTTGAAAATACATCAAACTGGATTTATTGTACTACATCAGCATTTTTAAGCTTTTCTAGCTCAGTAAGACCTGGGAAAAAGAAATCCTAAGACTTAATATCTAGACATCAAGGAACATAACCTTGACTTTTAGATATATTGATCATACTACCATACATCTCTAGTCCAGATTTAGCCAAAACATAACTTGACTGAATTTCATTATTAGATACTATTTTACAGAACCTATATAATTTTTCAAAGCTATATGCCATCTGCTCCTGTCATTAATAATCCAAGAGCTTTTCCATGTATGTAAAGTCATAAGTGGAAAAAAACAACTAGCCTATTTACCAAAATCTTTATTTGCATAATATGAAAATTGTTTTTTTGAGATGAGACTTGTCAGAGGCAATATGCAAAGCACATTAAGGGCTTGAGCGAGTCAGACATTTATGGAAATATTTTCCTGCAGGAATTGGCTTTCTGTAACAGTTCTTAATCAAGAGTAACCCTAGGAGGGAGACGGAGTCAAGTGCTGATTCCTGTCCATGTACTTAAATCATTTGTTATGTACATCATCCACAGTACCAAGCAGATATTAGCAGATAATTTTTAAATTCTGAAAAGACTCTATGACTTAAAAACACACTGATTGTAGTTTGACAAAGATCAATCATAATACAGTGAAATTTAAGGCTTATCTACCTTTTTTTTTTTTTACTGTAACAACAAAATGCAGTAATTGATGAATTAAAAGAAAGTCTTACAACACTGATGAATTAGGCCTTTTGGTAAGTATACCAAACCATAGTAATTTTAAAGAATTTAGGTAGAGGCTGTGACTTTTTTTTTCCAGTAGGAAGAGATGAGACCTCTCCTTTGTTCCAATTGGAGTTAAGTACTTTGAAAGGAACAAACTACTCTTGTGTCCTACCCTCTGTCCTCATCCCCGTCAGAGGCATGCTACTCTCCAAAGAAACTGGTCAGTGGTTTCAATCTGTGTTCCAAAAGGGTAGAGGTTCCTCAGAGGTGCCACATGGAAGAGGGACAAGGCACAGAGGCAGATTCTAGGCCCTCTCTGCTCAAAATAAAAAAACCCAAACACACTGGTTAGATAATCTGTGTTTTCTTCCGAAGGTACGTTTTTGGGGTCTTGCAACTTTCTCCATATTATCAAGCACTTCATATTTTTTGCAAGTAACTATGTGAACATAAGCTAGAGAAAAATGTATTTATCCTTACAATATTAATACTGGAATCTGTGGCAAAAGGAATGATAATGGACTACTGCTGAACATATTACCAAACTTACATAGATTTTCACTGAAGTTAATTGAGGGTTGACACAGCACCTACTGTTATGCATCTGTCTCACCAAAACAATTTCAGTGAACCAAAACATTGGTCTTAAAGGTTTTATGAAAATTGTAATAATAATTACATACTTCTGACTAATGCTTCAAACGCTGTAAAACCTACCAGACTAACCCATCTCTTTACAGAATCTATTATTTGGAAGACCACTAAATTAAGACACTGTGGTGATCTGGGTTTTACTTTGGTTTATGGGGTCTGGGAGTCTTATTGATTACAACAGTTTTACCTGACAGATGACATATGACACAGTATCTCCAGCTTTCATTTTTCTGCCTCCTTGAGAATTCATCCAGAGGGCAACATGTACATGAGGTAGACTTTTTTTATCAGGGTAATCCTGGGGATCCTTTGTCAATGCCTAAAAGAGAAAAAAGAGGAAACAAAAAGCTCCAAACTTTAAAATAAAACCATTCTCACACAGATATACACTAACCACATTTTTCCTAGAATCCTATCTGCCATATTAACATAAAAAGGACAGAAACCGTAAGTAGAAAACAGTGCCACAGTCTTTAGACATTCCATCCTTAAGGCTCCTCCCTCCTTCATTTAGTAACTAATATAACCAGATGCAACTCTGGCAAAAAAAAAAGAAATAGGAGTTTATGGGCCATGGCACATAATACTTGCATATAAAAAGTTAAGACTATAAATTCAGCTTTCTATGCAGTCTTTCAAGTTTCTCTTAATGTCTGCAATTCCCTCACTGAATTAAGTAGTTGGTAAGGACTGATGGAGATTGGCTACTCTGACTTAATGATCTGTTTCTCAAACGCTTCTCTAGCCTAAATAAATCTCCAAGGTACCAGAAATCGGTGGATTTATTCACAATATCAGTTTAAACTCTACAAAGGCAGAATGAATGAGTTTCTAACAGAAAATAAGCCCCATGAAAGCAGGAGCACATCAGCCTCACTTGCAGCTGCATTCAGTGCTCAAAATGATTCTTGGCATACAGTAGCACCAAATGTTGCAGAATTATTTTGCTCAGTCTGCAATAATTCACTAAGTTCAAGCACTGTAAAATACTCTGAGATGAATAAGACAGTCACTGGTCCTAAGTCATTTGCTATTAGTAGATGATTCCTCATTCTGCAAATAAAATCTCTAAAATAAGCCACATGTGCCATAAGGGAGATGTGAACAGTGTTAGGGAGAGTTTAGAGAGGCAAGGATCACTTCCATCTGAGAGCAGGAATCACAGGAGAAAAAAACTTGAGCTGGCACGGGAAGAAAAATAGGATTTTAAGAAAAAGTGACAGGAACAAGAACATTCTAGGCAGGCAGAGATGAAGGCAAAAGTTAAAAGCATGAGGTAACACAAAATACAGTTCATTGGACTGGAACTCGGTATGCACAAAGGGTAGGAGGGAGATATCTAGCTCTCTGGTGGGTTTCAAAAGACAAGAAGGTCAGGGAACAGAGTGCCACGTGACTAGATCACCTAAATGTGGTCTGCAGACCCCTGGGGAGTCTGGATATCCTTTTCAGGGAGTCAAGAGTTCAAAATTATCTTCCTAACAATACTGTTTGCACTGGTGATACAGAAGCAATGGTAGGTAAAGGTTCTGATGCCTTATAAACATTAATCATCAGGGCAGCCACAGCAAACTGCTACAGCTCTTTGTATTCTTCACCACCACACACTCAGAGTCACCAAAGACCAAAACACCAAAAAAACCTCCCCAAAACCAAAACAAAACCCAGAAATGAACCCAGTTTCACTAAAGAATGTCCTTCATGGAATGGAAGAACAAAGGTTATTAGTTTTTTAAGGTCCTGATCCTGAACAGAAGGCTAGTATTTGTAAGACAAAATAAGAAGTATGCACAAGGCATGTGTGTCTACTGTATACTGAAGAATGAAGGCTGCTTGAGGAAAAGCACTTGTGCAAATGTTCAGAGTTGCAAGATAAACTAACTGCCTTGTTCATAGATCATAATTTTTCCTTGCAAGAATGACCGGCCAGCTACTGCTACTTAAACTTGAGTCTCTGGCAGACAATTTCTCAAAAAAGAATGGAATCAGCCTGCAACTTCAAGAAAAATAACTGGCAGTATATATTGTCTATGATAAAATTCAACCTTTTAAGCATAAATTAGAATTTTGCATGTGAGAGAGCTTGACAGCTTCTCTTTTTCTCTTAAGATTTTATTTATTCAAAAAAAGATTTTATTTATTCATTCATGAGAGACAGAGAGAGAGAGAGAGAGAGAGAGAGAGAGAGGCAGAGACACAAGCAGAGGGAGAAGCAGGCTCCATGCAGGGAGTCCAACGTGGGACTCTATCCCAGGACCACGCCCTGGGCCAAAGGCAGGCACTAAACCCCTGAACCACCCAGGCATCCCAACAGCTTCTCAATACTTAAAGACTTTTCTGATGATGTAAGTAGGAATATTTTAAAATGTGATTTTTGATAATGTATTTGGAAGATCTGTAAAACTTGGGAAATTATCAGTTTACAAATGACCAAAGCATGTCATGCGTGAGTAAAAAATACCTATCCCAAGTACAACACAGCCCAAGAGATTTTCACATGAGAGTATGAAAAGTTCATTGATAAAAGCTTCAGAATCCCACATAACAATAATCCTTACAAAATGCCACTTACATAATACTGGTGTAGAATCAAAGAACATCATATACAACTATCTGAAAAAAAAAAGTCCTGAAATATTTCTCCTTTTTCCAATTATGTATCTGTGTGAAAATGGATTTTCTTCCTATACTTCAACCAAAAGCACATATTACAACAGACTGGATGTTCAAGCGGGTATGAAAATCCAGAGGTCGTCTACCAAACAAGATATTAAAGAGACTTGCAAAATTATAAAATGATGCCACTCCTCTGGCTAACTTTTCTTTGTTTTGAAATATAGTTACTTTTCAAGGAAAAATGTTATTTTTGTAATCACATAATGGGTTTATAGCTATTTTTAAACAAATAAATAAAATTTTTAGAAACTCCCCAGTTTTAATTTCTAACAGTAAATATTAACACAGGCCAAATAAACAAAAGCTCCTATAGTCTTCAATTATTTTAAGAATGTGAACGTTTCGGGAGACCACGAAATCTGAGAACTGCTGGAACAGAATAAAGCAGGTCTTCCATCATGGCTGCACATACCCATGTCATGTCCATCATACACTCAAGGGCAGGAGAGCACCTAGGAAATGCTCCAAGTATCTGAATCTATCTGAATCTCCTCTAACCTGCATTATTTGGAGTCTTGATTAACTTGGATGGGTAATACTGCATAGAAATCTTAATCAATATAACTATCTAAAAAAAACTATTATCTTCTTCAATTGACTTCAGAGCAATATTAAGAAATTCTGAATTTCATGTGACATATTTTCCAGTTATTAGATTGGGGCTATTTGGGGATCTAACAAGTTACCTTTAGAAGGCTTGATTTAAAAAAAAAATGCTTCCTGGTGGTTTAGGCTCGAGCTAACCAGGGCTATGCAAACCAGCTGTGAAGTACTTTGTGCTGCTTTATGAAAAATATTTAAGCTAAGACTGTGGTAATTCAGAAAAATCACATATGATGTTTTTCAACTGTTTTTAACAACAAGGGCTAAATCTTCAGAAAGGCAAATCTCACCACTTTACCCCTCCCCCCTAGGCTAGCCTCCTTTCAATCCTTACTGAGATCACCAAAATATTTGTATCTACAGATACACAGATATTCTGTCATAAGACCAACCACAACCAGTCACATACACAGACTCTTCCATTTCACTCTCCTTTGAAAGCGATGAAAGGTAAAACCTGAATTGCTCACAAGTTTTAAACACTGCGAGTATTCAGACAGATGTTAATCAAGACCCATCACCTTTGACATAAACAACTTGCCATAAACAGACTTAGGAATAACTATAATATAGATAATCCTTTCATCAGAATTCACTGCACTTCTGTCGACACTGCAGAAATCCATTTATTTAAAAAAAAGTATAAAAATATGGGACAGTAAATATCTTTGACAGATAATTTTCATCTTGTAAACATGGACCATGCTTTGCTTATTCAATTTTTTTTATTTTTAAAGATTTTATTTATTCATGAGAGACACACACACACAGAGAGGCAGAGACACAGGCAGTGAGAGAAGCAGGCTCCATGCAGGGAGCCTGATGTGGGACTCGATCCTAGGATCACATCCTGGGTCAAAGGCAGGCGCTAAACTGCTGAGCCACCCAGGGATCCCAGTTTATTCAATTTTAAATCCCAGAATGTAGCACTGTGCTTGTAAGAGGTACTGCATGTTTGATGAATGGAAGACTAGGAAAGCAAGTGAATTCTTTCAATATTCACCGAACAACTGTTATTTGCCAGCTACTATGTCAAGTGAAATGGAGAATATAAAGACAATAACTAACAATTTTAGCTCTGCCAAAGAAAAATGAAGGCACAGCCCTAATCGCATTAAGTATTACTATTATTGTTATTAATAATGTCACTATAAATTGATAATTAGTGAAGCTGAATGCTGGATACATGGGGATTTATAATACTATCCTCTGGTTTTGTAGAAGTTTAACAATTTTGAGAGTAAAAACTTAAAAACAACAGGACTGCAGGCTGTTGGTGAATACTCAAAGACTACCAGTGGGTCCCTTGTGATTGCAGTTTCCTTGTGTACTAGTAGTACTATGTCTTGTCATTCATGTAAGAGGAAGACAGCGTGGGCACACTGGCTTGGAGGACACATGCTCAGTGTTCTTCTGCCAATAATGTGCTCATGTTTGGATTCAGCCTTTCAAACTCTTGCCTGGAACCACTTGTGATAGAGGATCCACATTTCTAAGAAGGTACATAGTGTCAGGGATAGAATCTACAAAATCGATGCAAAATTGATCAAAGAAAGACTGAAGTCATAAATAAATTTGACTGAAGTCAAATTTCTGAGACAGACCAAACAGAATCCGAAAGGAAACCATTTTTTAGATGTCACAAGTGATACCATGCCAGTGGATAAACACTACATTGCTTAAAGCGAAGAGCCAGAGCCAAGGCACATGCCCTCTTTACAATATTTACTGTTTTCTTTGTAGTTTCTTATATAAATGAGTGTCTTTTTTTGTGACATCAGGGTTAAGGTATAGGAAACAGATGACTTATTTAAGAATGAATAATAATCCTAAGGATATGCATAGAAAATATTCATCTTCTCTAAAAACCAAATAAATGCAAATCAAATGCCAATGGTGAGACACTGCTTCATATGAAAATGATAGCACTATTTTATTTAAATATCACCAATGATATTATTGCCAAAGAACCATCATCAATACAAGCAAATGTGTGGTGAAATTCACACATATTTTGTTCTTATCAATGCGTATCACCCTTTTACAAAGCAATTTGGCAACAGCCACACAGATATCCCTATCTTTCGACACAAGTATTTCACTTCAAGGAACCTAAACTAAGAAAATAATTCATCCAAAAGCAAAAAGATAAAGAAAGATATTCAATACAGTTATTTCCAGTATTAAAAAGAATGTAAATAATCAAAAACTTTAAATAAAGATGTATCGGTGAGAGGCGCAGTGGTTTGGCGCCTGCCTTTGGCCCAGGGCGCGATCCTGGAGACCCGGGATCAAATCCCACATCGGGCTCCCGGTGCATGGAGCCTGCTTCTCCCTCTGCCTATGTCTCTGCCTCTCTCTCTCTCTCTGTATGACTATCATAAGTAAATAAAATAAAAAAAAAGATGTATCAGTGAAATATAAGATTAACAGGATCATTTTTAAAGATAATATAGAAATTTGGAACAATCTGTTTATGCCAAACAAAAACAGATTTCAAAATAGTATATATTGTAATTACTTCAATGTAAAAATATGTATTTAAGAGTAAGGAGTAAGGGAACAGTGTAAAAATGACAAGCATCAATTTAGCACAGGGGTATCATGAATGAGTTTTAAGTCTAAGCCTTCTATTTAATATCATTAGATTCTTTTTCATTAAAATTCTTTTTTTTGCATCAGCTTTGACAACAAAATCTATTTATCACAAAATGGGTAAAATAGTATCTACAAAATTAGCTTCTGAATATGTAAGGGTACTCTTTTTAAATGGCGGGGCGGGGTGGGGGGATCTGCAACCTAATATCTTATATTACACCTTTTTCAAGTTAGGTAATAAAAAACATTCCTCATTTTCAACAACTAGAACTATCCATAAAGTCCACCTTATAGGGATCCCTGGGTGGCGCAGGGGTTTGGCGCTTGCCTTTGGCCCAAGGCGCGATCCTGGAGACCCGGGATCGAATCCCACGTCGGGCTCCCGGTGCATGGAGCCTGCTTCTCCCTCTGCCTGTGTCTCTGCCTCTCTCTCTCTCACTGTGTGACTATCATAAATAAATAAAAATTAAAAAAAAAGTCCACCTTATATATTTTAAAAAGAAAATAAAAGCGCAAGCGCTCTGGCTATAAAGAAAATGCCAAAAAATAAAAATAAAAATAAAATAAAGAAAATGCTATTACCTCTAAGAATCACCTTCTGTGAAAGACACACACACACACACACTCTATCCGTCTGTCTGTCTCCATTTCTCTCTAAGCTTACAGGCCTGTCCTCCCAAACAACTATAAATAAGGACTATGGAGAAGGTAATACTCTCTAGTCCCCTAAACATCAACTATATCACTCCATAGAATCTCTGGAAACAAGGTTTCCATCAAGGAAGAAGTGGAGAGAGAAGGCCCCAGTGGCTGGCAGGGCAGTACGGGGGCGGGGGGGGGGGGGGGCTGAAAGAGGAAGAGCAGTATGCTAATACTCCATCGGTGAGATAGCTGTTAAGCAGCTTTCACCACCAGCTAGAATTTATTTCGATTGCAAGGATGAGGTGGTTCTTCAACTAGCTGAAGGAGGCAAAAAACACATGGCAGCAGCTGGGCTCAGCAATAAATGCTACATTTACCTTGTTAATTTCAAACTGGCTCACTGGGACACTGCCATTTAGCACATTTTCTCCAATTTCTATTAACCTCTTCTGAATGTTTTCCACTATAGCGTCTCGGCTTTGATCAGAAAGAATCTGGCCAATGACAAAGCTGCAAAAAAAGAGAGGGATTCATTTTTTTAATATTATACTTTATTAATAAAGGAGAGAAAAGGAAGATAAATGCCATTAGATTAACATGTGGACAAGAGCTGTACTAAAAGCTAACATGAGGGTGAATGTCCAAAAGGCCGTTACTATTTGTTTTTTAACATTAACTCTACCAAAGGTTTACCAACCTTGGAATGTCAGGTTTGCCCTTAAACATACAGACCATTTTTTTAATGCACCAGCTAATGCTTCATACAAAATGTGGACAGAGAAAGGTATGTGTTCCATCCACAACTGCATATATGCAATTACAAAATTCACAAGCAGTTATATTCTACCCATAGGGAAAAAATTTAAAAGACAAAAATTTCACTCTCCTCATAAAGCACCAAGTTACTATTTCTGATATCATCAAGCTGAGATGACCATTAGCTAGGTAAGCAGAAACACAATTCTTTATCCAAGTTTTTTTAAAAACCGAAAATTTCAAACTTCTCTTTCTTTAGCTTCATTATATTCCTCAGTGTTTTCCAACCTTATGCTATCTCTGAAAAAGTTCATATTATTCTACCAGACCCCCTTCAAAAAACAAGGGAAAAAAGAAAAAGAAAAGGAGTAAAGAAGCCAATATTTTATCCATTTCTGAGAAAATGCAGAGCGAGGGTTTGACAGCTGCATTATAATTTGTCAGAAAAAGAACCCTAACAAAAACATTTGTATAGCTTTAATTACTAATACATTTCTAACTCAGAGAAATTTACTTCTATTATGATGCATCTTTTCTTAGAAAACACAAAGCTGAAGAGAACACTAATCGACAGTCTATACAAAGTAGTTTCATCTTTGGGTACATTTGGGGGCAATGAAGCATTTCAAACTTCATTTCATAAAAGGCTAACAGTGACCTATAGTCGAATGATCAACTTTGCCTCATCAAGAGTGGTTCTGCAGAAGCAACAATTGCTTAATCTCCCAACTTGAAAGCAAGAGGAAGACTAGAAAACAAGTAAAAAGTGTGACTATTCAGCAATATTAAAATTAATTTAAATTTTGCTTTAAAGAAAAATTTCTTCTATTTTCAGAATTGAGCAGGTTCACCAAACAGGAATATCTAAAAAGATAGTACATTAAAAGATAGTACATTAAACCTAAAGATTCAACTTTTAAATGGATGCTTTATAAATTAATGTGACTCTTTAAAAAAAAAAAAACAGGCCTTATCATCACAATTTCCAGTCTCAGATGCAAAGGTAGGGGGGTCAGCCATGAAATTTATTATTTCTGAGGTACTCAAGAGTATTTGAGAACTAGCTCTTAAATTAACCTTAGTAAGAATTTAATTTTTTTTCTTTTTGCTAGAGATTCATTAAGAATCTTTACAGACAAATGATATGGATGGAACAAAGTCTCAGTCTGTGGTCCACTACGAATCCCAGAATATTTAAGCCACAACAGGGGAAAATTTCAACAATTATGTTCCTAAAGAGGCTCTAAAACAATTCAGGAACACAACACAAGGCACTTTCTAATAAGAAAATGAAACAAAATAAAACTGACACAAGCCAACATCAATGAAACCAACACCATAGGGAGCTAAGATATGAAGCTTCACCCTCATTGTGAGTTATAGCTCCTAAGATGTATCTTACAGCAAGTAACTCTTACTGAGCAAATTTGGCTTTTTTTGAGTTTTAATCTACCTGGAAAAATTCCACTCCAAATAAATGAGAAGCATTAATACGTAACAACATCAAAGAAGTTATGTCCTCGCGCTTGGCAGAATTACAAATCTTCTCTAGGTCATTAATACTCCAAGTTTTTACAGACAAATTAAAAAAGCAAAAATGAAAGCTGAACTCACTTTCCAGTTTCTTTAGCAAGATCACACCAATCTCTTCTAACTATATCTAACCCTTTCAGTTCCTGTTTGGTGGAGTAATTCCCATCTGACGTTGGCTCAACAACCAGAGCACCATACTTCTTTTTCTTCAGCAGTAGCAGAGACTTGAAAACACCATCAATGTCTATTTCAAGCAGTTTGTACAACTTGTTGACTTCACTTTTTACCTGTGAAAATTTCAAATCATTAATACTAGCTTCTCAAACATCTACCAGGAAGAAGATGAACAAGCTACAAATTCCTCGGAGTTAATCTAAACAGAACTTGAATTCACACAAGATTAGAGTGCATTTACTCAGGTGATCTAAAACACAGTATTATGTTGAGTATGATGCAAAACCACTGAAAGAGCATAGGGAGAAAAACTGATGAAAAAAATAATAATATATCATCCCATTCAACCAAAGGACAGAATTGGCAGGGTCTGCCCCAGGAAATTTACAAAAATTATAAAATAGTCTCTGAATCTGTAAACTAAATGCGTATGTACTTACCTTCAAACTACTGAGTTAGAAATTAGACAATCCAACAAATAGGTGGCTAAAAATAAGCAAAACTTTGACTACTAAAAATAAAGTCTAAGGGGTGCTTGGGTGGCTCAGCTGATTGTCGGACTCTTGGTTTCAGCTGAGGTCATGATTTCAGGGTTATGGAAGGGTGGCCCTCATCAGGCTCTGTGCTCAGAGTGGAGTGTGCTTGAGATTCCTTGTGCCCCTCTTACCACACGAGCACATGGTCTTTCTCTAAAATAAATAAATAAAATATTTTTAAAAAAGGTCTAAGATCTCTCTGTACCTCCCAAAGCACCTGACATATAAGGAAATAACTATATGTTGAACAAAAATTAATCAGTCACCTGCTCTTTATTGATAGGATCAAGGCACAGCCAATCACCTCTAAGGAAAATACATAGCTTTTTGAAGTCCAATATGAGGACAATAGGCCAGGCCTGCTCTCAGGCAAAGGCTACAGGTCATACTTCACACATATTAGTGAAGAAGGCAGGAAGCTGTTATTTTGTAAGATGTTATCTTAGTTCTAGTTTATTGGGACAAGATCTTAACATAGAATACTTGCAAACTGCAATTAGGAGGCAACAAATGATTACTTTTAAATGGCCACTTGCCTTTTCAAATATATTTTAAGTATTCTTGTAAAATTATAAATGTGTATGCATGTACGTAGATAGGTATTTATCCAAATCAGCATATAAAATCCATCTGAATACTACTAGATATATTTCTCCTCATGCATGATAATGTGATAAGAATATACATTACCATATATTTTAAATTTATTTTTTTAAGATTTTATTTATTTATTTGTGGGGGAGGGGGGAAACAGCAGGAGTAAGAGGAGAGAGGGGCAGAGAGACAGGGAGAGGCAGATGCCCCTCTGAGCAGGGAGCCTGACATGGGGCTCAATTCCAGGACCCTGAGATCATGACCTAAGCCAAAGGCAGATGCTTAACTGACTGAGCTACCCAGATGCTCCCATATTTTAAATTAAAGATTTTTTTTGCTTTCTTCTTTTAACAGAAAGTTGACACAGGGTATATCACAGGGTGTGAAGCAGTGTGAACCCCCTGCAAGACCCAGGATAAACAGTAGCCAGTCAGAGATATCACTGTAGCCAGGCCTAAGCCCAATATCCCCGAACTGTGAGAAGAACACCATAGTCACCAGCCTTAGCAAGAAGATGAAAACATCTCAGACTGTTTTCAAAGTAAAAATGTATTTATCACTTAAGAGGAAAAAAACACTCTCCTTTGAATTTAACCCTTAAAAACAAACAACTGGAGTAGAGGTTAAGAAAAATAAGAGGATGAGGAAATGAGAATCATGAAGTTTATTATTTTCAGGAGCACACGTACACATACATGAATTTATGAAGTTCCATGTTTAAAGAGAATTCACAAAAGTAGGTAAAACAGATTAATTTCATCAGATTATCTCACCTTGTTTCCCAATTTATATACTTCTTCCAAATCGGTGCTATTGGTGTTTATCATAATTGAATCAGTATCTCCATAAATAACTTCAAGGTTCATCTAATAAAAAGCAAAAATTATAAAAATTAACAACAAAGATAAAGTGATCATCATACACAATGAAACTCAAGATTTTCCATACTACAGAAATTACATTGATCTTTCAAAAGTCTATGTTTATTCTTATCCATATTGTCAGAGTACAATCAAAGATAAGCTCCAATAAACCAGAAAAGAAAGCCACTATCACATTAAGAAAACCTAGCTAATTTTCTTAAAGCAGACAGAGAGCAGAGTGGCCAGGGAAATGTATAGTTTCAACCGACACAAACTATAGAACTAAATAACATAAAGGAGGATAAGAAACTAGGAAGAAGGGTGGGGGGTCTGTATTTATCCACTGTACCATAAGCTTAGTGGTCATGGCAATTTATAAAGCAGAAACATAATGGGTTATAATGGGTTTTTAAAATTCAGGGGCACAAATCCATATGAAATTCTTCACAGTTCCAAAGAGTATTCAGTAGAATATGAAGAGTGCCAAAAAAAAATCAATCATAACAAAAAACACTAGAGCACATACAGTATAAAGGCCTGGAAGTAAACTCTAATTAGCACTGTTACTAATTTGCTTGAAACACTCACATATAGGCTTCAAGCAGCGGCTAGATCATATCAGTGTTAGTAAAAGAAAAAAGCTATAATCCATTAGGACGGATTATAATCTTAAACTAGGCATCCTAAGAAGCCATTTCCAGTCTGTTTGGGTTACAATTTTCCTTGAATACAAAAACGTCACCAGGTATGATATTTAAGAGTCATTGTATAATGAAAATGCTCAGCATTACCTTTTGTACCATCTCTTTTGTATGCATCAAAATCTAAATGAAAGAAAAAGTCAAGATTAATGCATTACATAGTTACAAAACCATAAACTTAAGTACATAGAGATAGATAACCCCAACGACTGGTCATAAATTATAAAGCTCTTCAATGGTTTTCTAACTACAATCCTCATAAGAACAGTAATATCAACATAATCTAAAAGTAAGTTGGCCTCTATGTTCTTAGCCAGAGATATGTAAGCAGCTCTACTGTAAAGATCTACTTAAGATTCATATAAAGATCTATCTTTAATGAATACACATAATAAAAACATCCCTTTATGATATGGCAAAAAGGCGAACTATTCTCATTACTAATATTTAACTAGATCTGTGTGGCTGAAAAAAAAAAAGCTTAACAGAACATTTCAAATCTGGTAATTCTTATCTACATGGTATTCAAAATCTTAAAAAGTACAAAAATGCATATACACTAGATTTAAATTTCTTCTAGAGACTGTAAATTTCCTGAAGGCAGAGGGTAGACCTTCACATATTCTCTGGAGGTAGCACAGTGCCCAGTACTAAGGTGGGGCTCAGGAAATGTTCAGTGATCGGGTAATAGGTGTAGACAAGATTGTCTCTAGGCCCAGATAGCTACAGACTGAAGACAGTATTACAGAGCCCTAGAAACCCTGTACTTAGAGTATCTTTTTTTTTTAAGAGTATCTTTTACATCCACCCCTTACTTGCCATTCCCACTGCTTCTTCCCCTTTATTACAGTCTCCTAATTTTGTTCAGGCCTTCATTGTCCTATATTCTTACCAAAGAAAGCCCTTTTCCTGGGGGTGGTGAATATGGATTAGGCTAATTAATGATTTTAATAACAGTCATAGACTGGAATCACCTGAAAAAAGTGATTAGCAGGCAGGGCTAAAAACCACTGGACTAAGATAATCATGATACTCCCATTCTGAAAAGTTTTTAGTTGACAGTGTATCCCCTCTCCAACTAGATCACAAGCACCTGGAGGCCAGAACACATGTCTGGGCCTAACTCTAGGCTTCACACATGACAGGGGCTCAAAACCCCATTTGCTAGATGACTGATATGTCTCAAAGTAATCCCAATTACTTTCCTGGAATTCAGTTAACTCCTAAAAAACATTCACTCTCCTCCATTTCACCTTCCCTTTTAAACATCTAAATCACAGGGAAATGCGTTGTGGGAGATTATCTGACAATTCCTTCGGGAAGAGGGCAATAATGAGATCAACCAAGTTACTCATAGTGAGGACAGAACTGCTCATCACAAGTTCTCTTTACCCTCCGCCCCTTCTACCCCACCAGGCTTCGCCTTCCTCATCACAACAGACAACTCCACAAGGTAACCATTACCTAAGTAAAATACCTCAGACGCAGCCTGTCAACCTTTCACTGCAACTCAGTATATGCAGGAACCAATTTCCTCTACTCTTCTTTCACACCATGAACAAAATCTACTATGTCATCCTTGAGCAAACCTCCAACATGTACTGGCAACCTTCATTGTTCACGTTTACTACTTGCCTCAATTCTCTCCTGCCACCAACTCACTACCATTTCCACACATGACCTGAGGGCTACCAAAATTATTTTGTTTGACTGCAGAAACCTGGTATTGGATCTTTTGCACAAAAAAAATGGTAGAAAATGAAGCAAAACATAAAGACTATACTGCAGCTGCTTTTTTTCATCTAATACTTTATCTTAGAGATTATTTCCTATTTATGTATGAAGAGCTGCCTTATTCTTTTTAAATAACTCTACAGTATTCCACTGTGTAACTCGATCATGATTTATTTAACCAGTGTTCTAGTAATAAACATATAGGTTGTTTCTGATCTTAACCTTTATAACTACACTTCAACAAATAATCCTCATATACATATAATCTGCCAGTAACAAGATAAACTCTCTAAGACTTACTGGGTCAAAGGTTATATGGGTTCAAATGTTTTGTAAATATAATCAAATTGCTTTCCACAGAGGTTATACTGATTTCTGAAGATAGTTTTATCATCATCTTTCCAGGGGACCTCAATAGCTGATGAGTATGCTCCATTTCAGGTTCAAGGTCCTCCCCAAAGTGTGTCAACTCTTCAGTCCATCCGCTAGGACACAACCCACAATCATGCTGACCTGACCTCTCACGCTTCTTCACTAAGCACTTCTACATGGTGGGTACCATAGTGCCCTGTCCAGACCACTGTTTACCCAAGTGCTAATGAGTAGGATCACCCAAAAGCTACCTTTGATTCAAACTGCTCACTGCAAGGCCGGGGGTTGTCAGCTATTAGACACCCTGTGGGCTACCAAATTCTTAGTACGTAGCAGAGGGCCTGGTGCACAGGAGCTATTAACGAGTATTTGTAAAATGCTGAATGAATAATCCTAAGGAGTGGGCAGTATTACAAACCCCATTTTACAGATGAGTAAAATTAGGCTCTGTGATTTTACCCAAAATAACAGAACTAGTCAAGAGCTCGATCTAGAAGCTGGACCTTCTATCTCATTTTCTCTTCAGAATGTTTCACTGCCTTGTTAAAAAGCCCATACCACGTGAATGTTCTGGAAGCCAACAGTCAATAACTTATACATCACAGGTATTTTCCCCATTAAGGAAATGCATTTTTAAAAGAAGTCACAGGTATCAAGAAAAGTCTACTGGACACAAGGTACAGGGATTACAAGATGTCCGTTCATAAGTTCACTTCAAATTGACAAGCCTAATATTAAAGCTACACATTCTGACAGAAAATCATTTTGTAAGTGCCAACAGCTAGAAAACAGGACTATAAAGGCTTGCTAAATTCATTAATAAGGCAGTCTGCAGTTATCTGATTTCACAGCAACACCTGCATATTTATCTACTCATTACCAATTGGATGATGGAATTTTTTCAAGCACATTTCAAAAATCTGCCAACTTCAAGTGTAAAAAAATAAACTTTGTGGTTAATTTTTCCCTTAACAAAGTACAGCTGTTGAGAATAATTGTTCAAGATCTTACCCTGTAATGTCAACTGCAGCAGAACAAAGAGTATTTAATTAGCAAATCTATCCAGTAATTCAACACCTATTATATAAAATGCCTTCGTGATTTTATTCAGGATAATTTGCTAAGAGGGTTATTACTGACATTCAGATGGAATTTAAAATTCCTACGCAAGTCGAGTCATAATAGCAGTAATGATCTCCCCAATCAGGAGATTCGGTGTCACACAAGGCTCTCTTGCAATGCAGCAGCCGATTTCCTGACTTCTTAATTCCTGGGCTCAGCTCAGTGAGAGCCCTTCATGCCGATATTTCAGTCAGCAATACATCTTTAATGGGACTCTATTAAAATAACTAGAACAAAAATGACTTTTTTTTTGGTTAAAAAGAATGACAGCACTGCCATCATATCAATCATTGCAGGCTTTGCAGAACAGTGCCGTTAGGGGAAAAGAGGAGGGGGAAACAGGAAAGGAGTGGGGCTGGGGGTGGGGAGAGCAGTAATTAAAATAATACGAAAAAGTGTTTTAACCCCAATCTGAGCCTCTGAAGGCTGGTGAAGGGCGGTAGGGACTAAAAGGAAATGTAAAGTATATTTTAAAAAACTCTTTCCTAAAGAAAATAATGTATTCAGGAATACACCCACAATGTGGTTTACTAAGCAGAAAGAGCATGTTTATGACGCTGGGTTTAACAGCGGCAGCAACCTAAGACCAACTTCTATTGACGTATGCATTTACAGCTTCTCCTACCAAGGCTGGGAAAAAGCTGGGATCTTTACTTTTTGTCAGGATAGAATATGGGTGTCTGGCAATACATTGAAATGTTATGAAATGGTTTTAGACACTACTATAGCCTAAAACTGTGCTTATTAATACTAAATGAAAGCGAGAAAACACCAATTTTCCATGGTTAAAAAAAAGTTTCAAGCTCCTTTTCCAAAAGCACCGGTCTAAATGCAACAGAAATCCTACAAGTTAAGAAAATTGGGGTAAGGTCAAATCCTAAAAAAATAATGCATGAACAGAATGACAACTGAAATCTCAATGGCTTTAGGATTCTTCTGTTACTGATGACATAAAATTAGAAATAAACTGGAAAGGTTTTTTTAAAAAACATTAGCATAACAGGGGTAGCAAAATGAATGGTTTTGAAGGATAGGGAAGAGAAAAGTACAAGAAATATAAATATTATGATATTTGGTAATCCAACCATTATCTAAGTTTTCCTAGTCCCAATTTCAGCAGTTTCCGAGCAGGACTCTGTGATACTCCCTTCTCCCACTTGGCAAACATTTGATTCATCCTTATTATATTCTACTGCCTTTTTCTTATTTTCCCGTTATTCTTAGATGTGTGTCTTCTCTATAAGACGCTCAAGGAGCATAGGCTATGGATTTGATAAGTACCCTACTTTCTGTCTCTACCACCTAACATTCCTGCCTGGGTTTTTTACTGTCTTTAAAATAGTTTTACCTTCCTTAAAACTGGGGGAAAAGTGCCACCTAGATCCCTGAGATACGTGGGAATAAAAAGAACTCTAGGCTGAAAACACAGATAGCAAAGATAAAACATTATACAAATTTGAGTTTAAAGAAAAGCCAGGGGTCTGAAAGGTGAGTACTGGTTTAAACTGCCAATTAGTAGCTGAGTGATTTGCGAACCATCTGGGTTCCCTCTCTAGGTCTTAGCATCCTCATTTAGAAAAAATGAGGCTAGGATTCCTCCTAGATCTAAAAATCTAGAATCCCAGTTTGACAAGCAGAAACACCTCTATCCTCCTATCTGGTTGTCTTGTCCTTCAAACACAATCACTTCTTTAGTACTAGGAAAAGGAGGCACAAATACATCCAACAAAGACCGTCAGCATTACAAGAATATATATATCCATATTCTAGGTTAACTTTCGAAGGCTATATGGTTGTAAAATAACTAGAAAATACGTAGGCTCTCACAAGTTGTCTGCATATAGCTTACTGCACTTAATATAAGTGGGTGGGTATATTTCCAATACCTAAAACAT